ATTTTGGATCTATCTAGTATTGTATAATTGATCCTTTATTATGGTTTTGTGCTTTTTAACAGGTTGATAATATGTTCAATTGATTAAATTGTCTAAAATTTTTGAAATACTTGTCAAACTATGTGTTTTAATCAATTGAAATTGCGAAATAATTTGTTGATTTCCTCATTCTCAATCTTTGTTCATGATTTATTACCAGATTAATCGATTAAATAAGTTTTTAATCGATTTATTTCAATAAATCTGTAGCTCTGCATGTTTTTCCCTTTCGAATCAATCGATTTATTTTACTTTTGATAATCTGCACCTATATCATTAATTGAAAATCAATTGATTTTATGGAAAATCAATTGGTTAATTTTTTTCTAGGGCTAGTAGTGTATGTGTTGCCTCTTATTACTTACTGCAGATTGAGTTAAGTGCCTATGCAACTGCAAACAACTTCAGCTACTCTCTTAAATGTAATGGTTATCCAATAAAAGCTGAAAGACTGTGATTGGAAATCATATGTGAAGGTAATCGAGTGTTACAGTAACAAATCTCTCTCTCTCTGTCTTCACCATCTCTGACACACGGAGCAAAACTGAAGTAATTTACAAAAAGACAAATTTGACTATTCAAAGTAGATGAAGGGTCTGGTTTCTCTCATTCCTTTTAGTATGCAATAGTTGATTCAAAAATCTTGTACTCTCTCCTTGAAAAAAAAAATATTCTCTCTCCTCTGTATTCGGTTCATCTCTCAAACAACATGTTCAAGCGCACCAAATCTGGAAGGAGGAAGTTCAGCAGAGGAGAATCTATTAGAAATGTAGGTTGAGATCAAGAGGGCGGGTGAATTGATCTTTGAAAGATTTTTGCAATTTACAGATTATCTATTTCAAAGATTAAGATTTCTGACCAGTTCTTGAATCACACACAGCAAGCAATCAAAATAAAAGCAGTGACAGAATTAAAAGAGAAAGGTTTAGAAAGATACAACCGAGTTTATACTGGTTCACCCAATCCTAGGGCTACGTCCAGTTTTCAGCCAAATTCCAGCTGGGTTCCACTAGATTGAACGTTTTACAAATTACAACTCTAATCTCACACTTAATCTATCACAAGAACCACAATTCCAGTTCTTGACTAACCCTGCAGCCAAATTCCAGCTACAGAAACCAGTGCCCACAATTCTAGGCACCCACAATACAGTAAAAGAAAGCAAAGAAACAAATAGAAGAAACTTAGAACGCTCAAACCAGATTTATGCAGTTCTGCAGTATGTGTTTCTTCTCCAAAAGAATGCAATTTTGCCTCAAGAAATAACTTTAATAAACTTCACAAAAACTAGCATGATTCTCTCTTGAAAGTAGCACTTATGATTGCTTGATTGATTGCTAATATAAAAAGTTCAAGCAACTCTGTTTTTATAGAAGATTTTCAAAACTGCTGGTTTATTTAATCTGTTAAAATAATCTTTTAATCTGTTAAAAGTCTTGTTTTAATCTGTTAAAACTTCTTTTAATCTGTTAAAATGTTCTTGATTATTTTCCAGATGTGTTTTAACTGATACGACACCGTTTATATCAATTAAAACTCTTTGTAAAAAATCTTCCAAACTATTTTAATCGATTGTTTCGTCTTTTAATCGATTAAAATACTGCAAAACATTCTTATAAACTTTTCTAAGTGATTTTAACTGATAACAATCTGTTTTAATCGATTAAAACGTATAGTAGAAATTCTCTTAAGTTGTTTTAATCGATTAAATCGCAGTTTTAATCGATTAAAATTATTCTGATCGATCAAAAACTCATTCTGATCGATCATATGCTTGGATTACATCGGTTAAACAATACTCCAAGTGGTTTTAATCGATTATTTCGAAGTTATATCGATTAAAATACTTCCAGAACACTTCCCTGATCATTTTAAGTGATTTTAATCGGTTATTTCAAAACTATATCAGTTAAAACACTGACAGAAGGTTTTCAAAACTTTCTTTAATGAAAACAATCGATTATTTCGAAAACATATCAGTTAAAAACCTGTTACAAAAGTGTTAAGAACATTTTAGTTGATAAAGCTTATATGCTATTAGTTAAAATAGTTAATTAAAAACCTTTTAACAAAATACTTTGTTTTTAATTGTTTAATCATTTTTTTAGAGGCATTTGCAAAATCTTTTAAATGAAGAAACCTCATGTAGCAGAAAGATAAAAATGATTATACCTAAGCAGAGATGCAGACTCACTAATCCCACTACCCTTTTATCTAAGTGACCTTTGACTGCCACAGAGTAGCCTTTGACTTCATTTTTTACTTCATCAAATCAACAAGATCTTTGCCAAAGTATTTCAATAAGATCTTCATCACTTTCAGTCTCCCCCTATTTGATGAAGACAAACACCTCTTTGAATAATAACTCTGCAGAAGAAGTCACTTGAATATATAGATTAGTGAGTAATCAAAAATTAATTATTTTCCCATTTCTCCCCCTATATTGTTGCTCCCCCTAAATAAGGAAAATCAATTATTTCTCCCCCTTTTGACTTCATCAAAAATAGGGAACAGAGGAAACTTACTAAGTATGAGATGTATCAAATTGTAGATTTTGAAAACAGTACAAAAAAAATTTGGATACGATACCTTACTCATGTAAAGACCAATCAAAGTTGATTCAAACTTATCTTCATTAACACGTTTGTAATGAATACAATTAACACGTGTAAAGATAAGGGAATCACGCTTTAGTAGCATGTTACAAGAACAGTCATTAACTAAAGCCTTTAATTTTTCTTTCTAGAGTAATAATCGATTAAAAACAGGACAAAATTGATTAAAAAGTTATTATTAATGGTTTTAATCGATTAAAATAATGTTTTAATCGATTAAAACAGTGATGAAATTCGAAAGTTTAAAACATAAGTTGACTTAATCGATTAAATCGACATTTAATTGATTAAAACTGTAAGAGAAATGTTGTATAAGTGTTTTTAATCGATTTAAAGCTTGTTTGTATCGATTAAAACAACCAGTTTTGAAAACTAAGTAATGTTTGATGCATCTATCATGCCTAATTCAGTGCGAATTTTGTAAAACCGATCATGAGCAAGAGGTTTTGTAAAAATATCTGCTAGTTGTTTTTCAGTTTCTATAAAGAAAATTTCACAATCACCTTTCAAAACATGATCTCTAATGAAATGATGTCTAATTTCTATATGTTTTGTCCTAGAATGTTGAATTGGGTTTTTAGTTAACATAATGGCACTTGGTATTCTCACATAAGAGAGGAATTTTTCGAGAATTAAACCATAATCCTCAAGTCGTTGTTTGATCCAAAGAGATTGAGCACAACAACTTCCAGTTGCAATGTACTCGGCTTCAGTTGTAGAAAGGAAACACATGATTGTTTTTTACTATGCCATGAGATTAGGCTGCTTCCAAGGAGATGACGAGTGTCACTGGTACTTTTCCTGTCAAGCTTACAACCTGCAAAATCGAGTCGAGTATCCAATTAAATTTAGTTTGGACTCACCAGGATACCATAACCCAACATTTAAAGTTCCTTTGAGATATTTGAGGATTCTTTTTGCGGCGGTAAGATGGGATTCTTTTGGTGCGATTGAAACCAGGCACACATACAAACACTAAACATAATGTCAGTCTACTTATTTGTTAGATATAGTAAAGAACTAATAAGCCCTCTATATTTGGTTTCATCAACGGGTTTTCCTTTTTCATCGAGAATCAAGATAGCAATTTGTGGACATTGGTGTTGATGCTTCTTTGCAATGTTCCATCTCGAATTTCTTTAAAAGTTTTGTGCAGTATTTAGATTGATGAAGAAAACTTCCTTCTTGAAGTTGTTTAACTTGTAATCCAAGAAAGTAGTTGAGTTCCCCCATCATAGACATCTCAAATTCTCCCTGCATATCTTTGATAAAATCTTTACATAAAGATTCATTAGTTGCTCCAAATATGATGTCATCAACGTATACTTGAACTAGAATTACATCATTATTCAATTTTTTAAGAATAAAGTTTTATCAACCAAACCTCTTTGATAGCCCTTTGAAATGATAAAATTACTTAACCTTTCATACCATTGTCTTGGGCCTTGTTTGAGACCATACAAAGCTTTCTTTAATCTATAAACATATTCTGGATGAATATGATCTTCAAACCCAGGTGGTTGTGTAACAAAAACTTCTTCATTCAAATAACCATTTAAAAAAGCACTTTTGACATCCATTTGAAATAACCTGAAACTTTTCATTGAAGCATAAGCAAGTAACAGTCTAACGACCTCTAATCTAGCAACAGGAGCATATGTTTCATCAAAATCAATTCCTTCTTGCTTGATTATACCCCTTAGCAACTAATCCGGCCTTGTTTCTAGTAATTATACCATTTTCATCCATTTTATTCATAAAAACCCATTTTATTCCTACAATATTTGCATTATCTTGTTTTTGGAATTAATTCCCATACTTCATTTCTTGTAAATTGATTTAATTCATCATGCATAGCATTAATCCGAGTTATTATCCTTTAATGCATCGAGATATGGTTTTTGGTTCAATTTGTGATACGAATGCCATGTGATTGCAAAATTTATTTAAAGATCTTCTAGTGGAAACTCCACTGATTTATTTCACCAATGATGTTGTCTATTGAAAGATTTCTTGGAGTCTTCCATTCTTTAGGCAACTGCTCTTCAGTTTCTTCAATATTTTCGGCCTGTTTTTGAAAAACTGTTGATTCTGGCAGTTTTAACTAATACATTTTATCAGTTAAAACATCATCTTCTGTACTATACTCAACATTATTCTGCATACTTAGGTTAGTCTCATCAAATACAACATGAACATATTCTTCTACAGTATTTAGCCTTTTGTTACTTCCTTGATTTTGATCATTTGAACATGTTTGTAGCAGAAATTTGAGAGGAGATTTTTAAAAAATATGAAAACAGAAGAAAGAAGATAAGTTGAGAAATGATTGAGTAAATACAAAACCTGGTTTGATGAAGATCGGATTTCAAATCCAAAGAGACAGAACTGCAATGTTTCAGCTTTAAATGCAATTGTCCCCTTGACCAAAGACAGAGGCACAAGTTTCTCTTTTACAAAATAAGCCTCCCCCGAATTATCAAGATACATGTGGAAGTGTGCTTCAACCCCATTGACGTTTATCCGAACAACCTTTTCAGCACCTTTGAGCACACCTTGAAACTTTCCAAAGCGAACATACCACGGCATGCACCGAAACGTGCCATATGGCTGCTGAACAACAATGACATCAACCGCCCTACCAAAGGAATGAAAAGGAGTAGCAACTGAATAAACACCTTGGGTTATCAAGCTTCCAACTTTGCCCACCACATTCATTCTTATCAGCAACCAATGACCAAATCTCTAGAATTTTGGGAGGCCCAAAACTCAGACCTCAAATTGCTTAAGACTGATCCTACTTTCAATCACAATAGGTTGATATAGATTTGAAATAATCAATTAATTCTGTACTGGAAGTAGAATGTGAATTGATTAATTTGATATTCAATTGATTAATCAAGTTTTGGAAGAAATATATCAGAATAATAAACGATTGAATCGAGGAATAATCGGTTAAATTTGTTCTTTTAATGATTTTAACTTATATAAATCCATTTTAATCGATTAAAACAGCTAAACTAGATTCCAAAGAACATTTTAATCGATTAATTCCTATTTCAATCGATTAAAACTGTACGGATAGCTTTTATGGTATTCTCTGTAAGTGATTTTAACCGATTAAAATAGTTTTATATCAATTAAAATACTCAGTCCATGAATCCAGAAACAGAATTTGCTGATTTGATACCCAGGGACTTCCAGATTTTGTTCCTGCAAAATAGATTTGGCATATTTCTGGTACCCCTTTTTAATTACTGGGTCCAATCACATTATTTGAAATGAATTTTTGGGTATCCACTTCATTCTACCTTTAGGAATAGCATATTTCTTAATTCTACAATATTTCACAGAATGACCTTTTTTCATGCAGTAAAAACATTTAATAAATGGAGATGACACAGATTTACTATATGTAAAATAGTTTTTAAATACTCTAGTTTTCTTTCCAATAGGAGGTGTAAAACCTATTCCACCACGATCAATAACCAATTTTTGAGAATCAAGTATCATATCAAGACTAGTTTTTCCTTGTGCAAGTTTAGATGCAGTTTTTATTAAATATGTTAATTTCTCTTGTAACTCAGGACAGTTTTTACAATCTTTAACATTACACATGCAATCAGAGTTATTACCTATTTCCAAATTTTCATTCTTGGTTTCTTCATCAACTATTTTCTTTTCAAGAAGAGTGATCTTGTTTTCTAATGAACTATTCATGTTTTTTAATCTTTTGTTTTCAATTTCTAATTTCTTAGCTACTACATGCATTTCATAAAAAGCATCTTATAATGAACTATAATTCATAGTAGTTGTTGAGTCAAAACTTACACTGGTTATTGGAGAATCCGAATTGACCATTAAGCATATCTCTGTTGTTTCTTCATAGGTCTTTTCAAGGGTTTTCCACATTTGTGCAACAGTTTGACAATGTGCAATCCTGAAAAAATCATCTTTGTTAAGTGCAGATATGATGATATTTTTTGCAATACAATCATCTTGGATTAGTTTCTTTTCAGAATCATTTAAACTAGACCATTCTTTGTTAAAAACATAAGTTCCCTGCTCAATAATATTCCAAACATTTATACCAACAGATTCAATAAAGATCTTCATTCTTATCTTCCAAAATAAGTAATTTGTACCACAAAACAGTAGAGGTCTATCAATACAAGCACCCTCAGAAAAACTATTTCCAGCCATTTGGATCGAAAGACTTGAATAATTCTCAAGAACCTTGCTCTTGATACCAATTGTTAGAAATGTAGGTTGAGATCAAGAGGGGGGGTGAATTGATCTTTGAAAGATTTTCGCAATTTACAGATTATCTATTTCAAAGATTAAGATTTCTAACCAGTTCTTGAATCACACACAGCAAGCAATCAAAATAAAAGCAGTGACAGAATTAAAAGAGAAAGGTTTAGAAAGATACAACCGAGATTTATACTGGTTCACCCAATCTCAGGGCTACGTCCAGTTTCCAGCCAAATTCCAGCTGGGTTCCACTAGATTGAACGTTTTACAGATTACAACTCTAATCTCACACTCAATCTATCACAAGAACCACAATTCCAGTTCCTGCACCTAAACCTTCACCAAGAACCAAATTCCAGTTCTTGACTAACCCTGCAGCCAAATTCCAGCTACAGAAACCAGTGCCCACGATTCCAAGCACCCACAATACAGTAAAAGAAAGCAAAGAAACAAATAGAAGAAACTTAGAACGCTCAAACCAGATTTATGAAGTTCTGCAGTATGTGTTTCTTCTACAAAAGAATGCAATTTTGCCTCAAGAAAGAACTTTAATAAACTTCACAAAAACTAGCGTGATTCTCTCTTGAAAGTAGCACTTATGATTGGTTGATTGATTGCTAAAAGATGTGATTTAAAAAGTTCAAGCAACTCTGTTTTTATAGAAGATTTTCAAAACTGCTGGTTTATTTAATCTGTTAAAATAATCTTTTAATCTGTTAAAAGTCTTGTTTTAATCTGTTAAAACTTCTTTTAATCTGTTAAAATGTTCTTGATTATTTTCCAGATGTGTTTTAACTGATACGACACCGTTTATATCAATTAAAACTCTTTGTAAAAAATCTTCCAAACTGTTTTAATCGATTGTTTCATCTTTCAATCGATTAAAATACTGCAAAACATTCTTATAAACTTTTCTAAGTGATTTTAACTGATAACAATCTGTTTTAATCGATTAAAACGCATAGTAGATATTCTCTTAAGTTGTTTTAATCGATTAAATCGTAGTTTTAATCGATTAAAATTATTCTGATCGATCAAAAACTCATTCTGATCGATCATATGCTGGATTACATCGGTTAAACAATACTCCAAGTGGTTTTAATTGATTATTTCGAAGTTATATCGATTAAAATACTTTCAGAACACTTCCCTGATCATTTTAAGTGATTTTAATCGGTTATTTCAAAACTATATCAGTTAAAACACTGACAGAAGGTTTTCAAAACTTTCTCTAATGAAAACAATCGATTATTTCGAAAACATATCAGTTAAAAACCTGTTACAAAAGTGTTAAGAACATTTTAGTTGATAAAGCTTATATGCTATTAGTTAAAATAGTTAATTAAAAAACCTTTTAACAAAATACTTTGTTTTTAATCGTTTAATCATTTTTTTAGAGGCATTTGCAAAATCTTTTAAATGAAGAAACCTCATGCAACAGAAAGATAAAAATGATTATACCTAAGCAGAGATGCAGACTCACTAATCCCACTACCCTTTTATCTAAGTGACCTTTGATTTCCACAGAGTAGCCTTTGACTTCATTTTTTACTTCATCAAATCAACAAGATCTTTACCAAAGTATTTCAATAAGATCTTCATCACTTTCAGAGAATCCTCAGCTACTGCCCAAGAAACATCAGAAGGAGGGCGCATTGAAACCTGGTTCAATGGGAACCAAGAAAAGATGGGATTATTCATTCACGAAATGAGCAGAAAACAGAGTAATATTCCCAAGGTTCTGAAATTCTCGTGGTTGGATGCTGAAGGGTTCAGAGGGGTTCGAAAGCTGCTGCAACACCAGAAACTTCAGAAGTTCCTTGAGCTAAATGGTAGAATCTATCCTGACCTTATCAAAGTTTTCTTTACTAATCTGTCATTTGAAGGTTCTACACTCAAAACTCAAGTTAAAGGAGTGGAAATTGACATTACTCCCACTGTATGGAAAAATGTTGTTGGACTCAAGGATGAAGGAGTAAAAGTCACTAAAGGATATACCTCTGATGTAGAAGAATTCAACAAAGTCTAATACTTTCGTTCTTGTTTGAGAAATAAGCGTGACTCTGTGAGTTCCTTCAACACTGGAAAGCTTAACCTTGAAGAAAGAATTCTTGCGTTCATAGTGGTCTGGCAGCTTACTCCCAGGGGGAGCAATCATGCAGTACTGAATGAAGGAGACTTGGTACTGATGTATTGCATCCACCATAGAATCAGAGTAAAATGGGTATTTGTCATCAAGGACCATATGATCAAAGCAAAAAGGCTAAGTGATTTTAGGTATCCTTATGCAATCCTAATTTCTAAATTTTTAACTCATTTTGGTGTTGACTTAGAAGGAGAATTGGCTGAAATTGTTCGTCCCACAAATGAGATTAACAACTCCATCCTTCATAAAATGGGATTCATTAAGATTGATGGTGATTGGATTTCAAAAGAAGAAGCTGGGAGAGAAGAAGTAGAAGAAGAAGAAGAAGAAGAAGAAGAAGAAGAGGAAGATGATGAGAATATTGGTGCTCCAAGTGCTGCTGAAACAAGACAAACAGACCCTATGGAAGATGTTATGGAAGAGCAGTCTCCATTGGAAATGATTCCTTATGTGGCACAACCTGACCATGGCACGCCTCTTTCACAGTTTGAAAGGACTATGTTGCATCAGATGAATGAAATGCAAACAAATAAAAGGAGGCACATGGAGATGACATATGCTCTGCAAGCTTGCCAGCATCGGCTTTATGAAGACTCCATTGCCAGATTTCAGCACATTGATAATCAACTGGAGGATATCTTCAACAGAATTGGAGACCTCCAATTCAATCAGGGTCCCTGGGATGGTGATGAGTGAAATTTCCTTTTAAATGCTTTCTTTCACTTGTGTTTTTTTTGTCTGTTTTAATTTTGGGTACCTAAATGGTACTTATGGATTGTAATTGAACACTTTTTTATTAAGTCAAATAGGGGGAGAAGTATTTGCTTATAACTAACACTACACACACATCATAAAATCATATGTCTCTATTCTGTTATTTTTTGTGCAGGTGCAGTGGTTATTTGTCTCCATCAAATAGGGGGAGATTGAAGCACTTGTTGGATTTGATGAAGACATATAGAGTTTATAAAGTTTATTTTGTGGATGTGTAGGTAGATAGGTTATAGGTTTAGAATTTAATCTCTTGATAGTTTCAGTAGATCTTGTGATAAGAGCCTATAGATGTTGCATTTCATGGAATTTAACTAACTGCATGAAAAACTAATCTTTAAGCATTAAAAGAACAAACTGAGTTTTTCAATCGGTTAAAAAGAAGTTTCAATCTGTTAAAATCACTTAAAATAGGAAATGTACATATCCAGCCAAAATTTTAATTGATTAAATCACAGAATCAATAGGTTAAAATGTTCTTGATGATTTTTCCATATTAAGGGTTTCGCAATTTTAATCTGTTGAAATCAAGTTCAATCTGTTGAAACAGAGAGATGTCATTTTTCATTTTAAA